TTTTTACATGAAACACCAGTTACAACTGAAAAGATTCTTTCTTACTCAGCGCTTGAATTGGTTAACGTAAGAAAATTTTCGAAATTGTCCTTATACTTTTTAACAATTATATACCATTTCACTCCACATCACATCTTCAGAACGATTAATTACGTAAAATGTCGAATATTCTTGAATTTTGATCAATTATGCAACAATAACTGCATCAAAAGAAAATCCCTTATTTATATGAAGTGTCCCTTTTTTCCCTTTTAATAATTTTTGATGCAAAATATCCCTCAAATAGGGAAATTACCCTCAATCTGGCATCACTGGGCCCAGCCCTCTTCTGTTTTAATACAACGAACGGTGTAAGTCTATTCAAAAAATGAAACCTTCTTGCACATCTACAGGCCTAGGCCTTTCCTTAGGCACCTCTTCTGTTTTAATACAACGAACGGTGCAGATTTTATAATTTTAAAAAGGTGGCAACCCTATTAAAAAAGTCATGCCTTCTGGTACATATATCTAGAGCAGTGTCCGCCAAAAAGAGAAAAGTCTTAAAATGAGAATGTATTAGTTATGAAATAAATATGAGAATGTGCTGGTGGTAATGCACGGAAAAAAATTTCTGTGTTGTATTACTTATTATAAAAACTTTGGTATGTCTTTTTGCAGTTTTTTCATTGTGCGTTTTTTTAGATCTAAACAACATAGAAACATATAATGAAAGTTAACGGCCCTGAGAAAGGAAAAAGTTGTTAAAATTTTGTATGTATTGTACAAAATTATTATTTTTCTATAATTTAAGTGTGGATTTCTGAGCAAAAAAGATAACGTGCTTCGAGCACCCTGAATATTAAAAGAAAATTTCGTTGATTTCAAGTAGAAATAAAATGAAAATATATATATCTAATATAAATTTATTTTAAAATTAGGTAAAACTTGACATTTAAGAACAGTTTAAAATAACGACTAAACCAAAAATAAATAACAAAACATATTGTATGTTTTAATTGAGGACTAGTCTGGTATTAAAAGAAGAAAAAATACATAATTCACAAAGTTCTTTTAATATGAAGAAAAAGCACGACTTGGTACCATATACATACCTATTTCTAGGGGTGTATGTACGAAAAATTGTGTTATAAGATTTTTGAATGAATATTCATTCATTCTGCTCAGTGTACCTACTTTATTCAACAATAATGCGTCATCAACCTGCTTCGCCTATTGTTTGCATGCAACTAAATAAAATTTGTTGCTCTTCTACTCTTTCTGTTGACGTTCGGATTGTGTACGTGTAAGAAGCCGATTGTGTACATGTGAAAGGCCGAATATAGTTCGTTTCCCAGGAAAGTGTTTGGCGGGCACTGATCTAGAGGCTAAGCCCTTTAATTTGGCACCTCAGTGTTGAAAATCGAATAATCGGTGCAGATCTGATGCCGTTAACTTTGACTTTTATTTTTGCCTGAAAAAATAAAAGTCAACAATTACCAATTATTTTCTGCTCATAAGGCAAATTTTAAGTTTTATTTTTGCCTTAAAAAAATAAAAAGCAGAAATAATCGGTATTATTTGCTCAAAATGATAAAAGTCATATTTTTAAAAGTCATGGAGGAATCAGAGCCTACAATGAGAGACGAGTCTAATGGTACCTTTGAAAAACCCATAGCATAATTTTTTCACTATGCCTTTCAAAAATTTGTAAATAACTTTTATTTTCAGTCTCTGGTATCGGGAGCCAGAAATGTATATACATGCCCAAGACAATAACTCCCGAAACGTTGTTTACGAAATGTATTGCAGCAGATGTCATTAATTTGAATTGCTAAACTTTTTTTTAATAAAAGTGGTTATATTTATGTAGCAAAATGATTTGTTTCCTTCTTTGTTACATTTAAAAGAATTACGTTAAACCAAACATCACGCGGGTGATACTGCGGGCAAAAGCTAGTATATATATATGGGGCGTTCCACGTTTTTAAATCGATCAAATAGTTTTATAAATATCTCGAGAACGGAGCGAGGAAAAAATTTAAAAAATCACACACACACAAAAATTCTCTGAAAAGAAATATTTAATTTTTTTTCCTGAAAAATTTTTCACATAGAAATTTTTTGATAAAAAAAATTAGTTTTTGAAAATATGCCATCTCAAAAAAAGTGAAAAAAATCACAATGTAGCTCTGAGTATTGCGCAATATTTAAGTATGAAGCAATCACACATTTTATAATTTTTTCAATCTGTTTAATTGTTCATTCATTTTAATGTTGCTCGTTTTAAATCAATGTAAGGACCATGTAATGTAATGTAATGTAATGTAATTGATTTGTAAAACCATTGCGACCCTGCGGGGTTTTGTGTAATAGAGTACCAAACTCCTTTTTGTGCAGCGCTAGCAAATGCACCACGGCAACCCATGTTGGTTTCGTTGCTTGCGCTTTAACTTGCCGACGATCGAAAATTCATTTGGCTGCGAGCTTGTGACAGCATCGGACGTGTGCGCACAATACTGATTTGGGCAACACGCCGGAGCTAAATATAATTAGAACAAAGCCAAGTAATAAAGTGAGAAACTTTTTATAAAAACATACAGCGTTTATTGATTAAAAAGCAAGGAACAGAGTTTGTATTTGACCAAGCCGTTTAGAGAAGATACGCGCACAATATTATTTTGGGCAGCACTCCTAGCACTTCAAATGCAATACACTCTACGCTCGTCGAAGCATCCATTATTTCATTTGTCTCCAACCTGGTGCCACAACCAACGACAAACCCATGTACTTCTCAGTGGTCCCCAACCTGGTGCCACAACCAACGACAGATCGTACCTTTATATTGGCGCCCAACTTAGTGGCCGCGAACAAAGATAACGCCGAAACAATGGCAACGTTTTCGCCTGAGCAATTTCAACAAATTTTGGCAGCGTTAACGAGTGACAAAAAGAATGGCTCGTTTACTGGATGCACTGCGCGTTTCCGTGGACAACGAAGCCCCGAGGCTGTGGAAGAGTTCCTTGCAGCTATTACCGTATATAAAGACATCGAAGAAGTTTCCGACGCAAACGCATTGCGTGGAATGTCACTACTTTTGGAAGACTACGCAGCAACGTGGTGGATTGGAGTGAAAGAGAAGGTGGCGACATTTTCTGAAGCTATCGACTTGATCCGCACGACATTTTCACCGCCAACTCCCGATTGGAAAATACAGCTTTATATTCCAGAAACGGCTACTTAAAGACAGCATAAGTGAGACTGTACAACTCTGCATGGTTTACGGCCTCTTGTCCGTTAAGATAAGAGATCGCGTTCGCCGTGAAATGTTCGTAACATCTGATGAACTCTTGAAATGCAGCCGCGAAGTAGAAATGATTTGACAAGAAAATTCTTTACCGAATGCTACTAAAAACCGTACGCTGATTGGTGCTGACTTCATGGAGCAGGCTGGCTTAGTGCTGAACATGACGCAAAGGTTTTGGTACTTCGAAGACGAACTAAGAGTGAAATATGATTTCATCAAACCCAGCGTAAACAGTCAGCTCTCTGCAATGGATATTGCTGGGGAATTATCAACCCCTGCAAAATTTCAGGCGTCGGTATAGCAGACATGAACAACAAGTCGAAGTTTGTCGATTTTGTTGAAAATGGTTACCGAATGAGTAAAGCGCCTCGTATCCCAGAAATTCGTTCATTTGATAAAAAACTCGAGAACCGCAAGCAAAACAACGAATATTCGCCACACTCGATTCAGAATATTTTCAGGGATTCAATTCCTGTTGGTGAAGGTACACCTGAAAATACATCCCGACTGTTTGCACCACCAATAGAAGTTCAAAATGAGGACTCGTACGACGATAAATATTTAGACATCCATTCCATAGACTAAACTATGTCGCAAGAAAAGGATGCTATAGGCTTATCGGATGGCCAGAAGTTTGAGCTAGACTCTTTGTTATTGGAAAACGCGGATTTATTCGCCGAACCAACTTCAGCAACACCATTCGATACGCATAAGATTGATACTGGAAACCATGTTCCTATCGCTTTACCTCCCTACCGTTTCTTATCAGCACGCAAAAGTGAACTAAAGTGCGAAATTGAAAAGATGTTAGAAAGTGGCGTAATAGTCGAGTAAATGTCGAGTTCCGAAGAAAGCAGGAGGAGTACGAGGTTGTATCGATTATCGGAAGCTGAATGCTATAACTAAATCAGACCGATACCCACTTCCGCGCATCGACGACCTGTTGCATGAAGCCAAAACTTCGAAATTTATGCCCACGATCGATTTACAATGTGGTTACTGGCAGATTGGCGTAGAGAAACAAGACCAAGACAAAACCGCTTTCGGCACACCATTCGGAATGTATAAATTCACTCGTATGCCATTTGGGCTGCGAAACGTACCAGCAACTTTTCAGCGTCTCATTGACCGTCAAGAGACGATATCATTTCTTGGTCAATAAGTTTCGAAGATCACTTGATAGAGTTGCAGAAAGTGTTTGACCGTCTGCCTTATTTCGGCCTCAAAATCAACAAAGAAAAGTGCAGATTTGCGTGCAGCGAAGTCAAGTACTTGGGCCACGTGCTGTACCCAATGGTATAATGGTAGACCCAGCCAAAGTTGAAGCTATCACAAAGCGTGGGCCACCACAAAATGTAAAGCAGCTTCTGTCATTTCTACAAGCATGTTCCTGGTACAGGCGCTTCGTTCCCAACTTTGCCGATGTATCCAAACCACTGTCACAACTTTTAAAGAAAAACGCTTGGTTGTGGACCAGTGAGCAACAGAACGCCTTCGAGAAACTGAAAGGTGTATTGGTAGTTTCACCGATTCTAAAGCAAGTAGATGACGGTTTGCCTTTTTTCTTGAAAACTGACGCCAGCGGCTACGCACTTGAGGCAGTTATACTCCAGGGGGAGGGCCCCAACGAGCACCCCATAGAGTACGCCAGCCGGCTGTTAACGAAAGCGGAACAAAATTACTCGACGATCGAGCGAGAAGCACTCGCTATTGTGTGGGCTGTACAAAAGTATCGAGGGGTCCGAAGTTACATTGATCACTGATCATCAACCCCTCAAATGGCTGATGACCTTCAAGTCACCAACCGGTCACTTGGCACGTACAACATGTGAGCCGAGTATCAGCCAGGGAAAACTAATGTTGTGGCTGATATGCTATGGGCTCAAAGGACATCCGCGATAGCCAACTTAAAGATCCAGAATTGAAGCAACTTTGTAGTAGCTTAAAACTTGCACTTTATTGTACTAAAATTTAATGGGCTACAGGACTGAATACTCAAAAAAATTCAAAAATTTTTAAATTTCTTATGTTCTCATTTTACTCACCTTCGGTGTAACTCAAATTATTGTAGAGTGCAATAATACTACACTTATAAAGGTACGATCTGCCGGTGGTTGTGGCACCAGGTTGGGGACCACTGAAGTAGTTGGATGCTTCGACGAGCGTAGAGGGTATTGCATTTGAAGACTACAAGACTGCATACTCAAAAAAATTCTAAAAAAAATTAAAAAATTTGTGAATTTGTTGTGTACTTATTTTACTCAACTTCGGTGTAAAAAAAAATCATAACTCAAATTATTGTAGAGTGCGTGCACCGCATAATACTACACTTAAATATTGCGGAATACTCAAAGCTACCATTGCGATTTTTTCACTTTGTTTTGAGATGGCATATTTTTAAAATCATTTTTTTCAAGAAAAAAAACATTTTAAAAATATTTATTTTCATAGAGAATTTTGATGTGTGTATGTGTGATTTTTTTTCAAATTTTTCCCTCGCTCCGTTCTCGAGATATTAGGAAAACTATTAAATCGATTTGTTTTTGCTTTTGTGCTGTAAAGTTTTTAAAAATGTATTAATCAAGCTCAAATTTCATATTTATTTATTATTTATGTTTATTAGACTGCATCACCAAAAAAAGTTGCGGTTTTTCCGCCGGTATTACAAATTATACTTTAAGCCGTCCACCAAAATATTTCTGCAAAATATTCTGCTTTATCATGAGTTTCGCCTGAAAAAAAATTCACCCCAAAATTTGTCATCCGCCTATAGTAAAACCATGGAAACCAAATGTGAAAAGTGAACCGGTTCGGGGAAAATGAAACTCATGATAAGGCTGATTAAGAATTAAGTGAGCTGGACCGAAAATGGAGTTTTTTATGAATAAAAATAGTTTCTTAAAGAACTTTTTGAAAAAAGTACCCTCAGATGACAAAACAGATTAAGCTTAAAAGATCTGCATAAAAATATTTAAAAATCATTTCAATGGAATCGTAATAATGAGATTTTTAATGCTGTTTTTTCCTTTTTTCAAAGATTGATTTACGAAAAACTTAAATAACTGGGCCAAAACTATTCTGATTTAGACTTATGGGATCTCGGTAGAAAGGTATTTTCCCACTATTTTTATTTATGTGCAAAAAAAGTCATTTGGGTCCCATGTTTTTTAATACCAATACATCTTAATTCAACTTTGAATGATTTTCGTTCATCCTACCTTTCTCTATCATCCTTTGAATGAGCTTATTAGCAAGAAAATAAAAAGGGTGAGAAAATACCTTTCCAGTGATACCTCGCAAGTCCAAATCGGAAGAGTTTAGGTTCAGTTATTCAAGTTTTTCGTATACCAATAGCATAAAAAATCTCACTATTACGATTCCGTAAAATTTTTTTATATTTCTTTTTAAATATTTTTATGTACATTTTTTAAGCTTAAACCGTTTTGTCATTTCAGAGGATTTTTCAAGAAACATTTTTAAGAAACTATTTTTATTCATAAAAAACTCCATTTTTGGAGGTATTTTCAAATCGGTCCAGCTCGCTTAAATCTAGAAATTTTTGTGAAATATTTTGGTGGGCATCTTAAAATAATATAGAATTTATAATTCCAATGGAAAAACAGTACCGATTTTTGTTTGTATGGGGAGTGATGCAGTCTAATGTTTATTCATCAACCCTAAAAATTTTAAACAAATCAAGCACATGAAGTGTGAACCCCCGTCCGTTTTGGTATGGAACGTCCCATATACAAGAATTACGAATTTAAGGCCAGTATGCAGCTCTCAAGAAAACGGTTAGGAAAAAAGTGCCATTATTTCGTGTGTGCGTCCAAGGAATTTTGACATCTGATACATCACCAGCCTGTTGCCTCACTCTTTCCTCAAGAAATAATGGAACGGGCATATATTTCTGTTGCAAGCATGGGTTGCCTTGTGCTCCTTTTTCACAAAAAAATTTAGAAAAGCGTAGGAAATTTCTTAAGAACTGCGTACTTCCTCAAGAAAATTTTACACAAGAAAATTTCTTTGCCATTTCTGGTACGTCATTTTGTATGGAGTTTTTGCTTTTCTTGAGACCTGCATACCTGCCTTTAAAGTAATAAGAACGGAACGGATTTTATGGAAATTGCCTTTTTTTCTGCTAAAGAGATAGAGTATATTCGATTAAGAATGTCCACGATTTAGCTTTCCCTGATTCCATATATACACATTTGATGTTGCCTTTTTTAAGACATTTGCCTTTTTTTGCCTTTTCTACCTTTAAAAAAGTGGTTATAGCCTTTACAATTTTTGTTTAAAGATTAAAAATATACACATGCCCATGCGGCTTATAGAAGCCTAGGGACCTCTTGCCAAATTGGTGTTGGAAAAATTCAAAGCCGTTTTCTCAGCTAACGTAGTCTTGGAGACAATAAGGGGTGTGCATAAAATTGTAAAGGGCGAGGAAAACGCCCTTATTCCTGACAATATGAACGTTTCAAACGTTCCTTATTTAAATTGGGCTCCACTTGTATCAACTTACGTCGAGCGCACGATTAGTACATTCAAGGCTTTTCTTCGCGAAAATCGAATGAAAATGCTGCCAGAAAACTTCAAAATGCATCTTGTTGCTCAATGTTACTACAACTATACAGATTAAAGTTTTATGAGTTAGAAACTCGAATGGATAAAATAGTCAAAGATTCAAAGTACAAATTTTTCATATAATGAAACTAGTTCATAGTTTTTCTCTTTTTACTTGTAATATAAACCTTTCTAAAATAAATGTATTTTTTGATTGTTCTTCGTATTTTCTGCCTTTTTTTAGTGCCTTATTTTGCTTTTTTGCAATACCTAGTGCGTTTTCCTGCCTTTTTCGCTATTTTGTTTTGCCTTTTTTTTTTTGCCTTTTTTGCAACACCTAGTGCCTTTCCTGCCTTTTTCGATATTTTATTTTG